AGTAGCTAAAGCGTCAGGCCGCGAATGCCGAAGACATGGGTTCGATTCCCACAGCGGCTACAATCTTTTCGTACTTTTTTTACAAGTTTTTATTTTTAATAACTTTACATTAAATGAAAATATCGCAGCATTTTTTTCGATGAAATATTACATTGGTGGTCGTACTACGGCACATCTACACTATTCGATTTATAAAGTGATACAGATTTTAATGAAACTGATTTATTTTATTTTGGATATTTTTGGAAAACTTACAGCTAGAACAGTCATTGTTTGATCAAATTTAACAAAATTAAAGGCCAATTAAAAGTTTTCACAATTAGAGAATTTGCTATAGAATTATGTGTTCGGAAGAGAAGCGTTAAACAATAAAAAGAAAAGTAATAAACTTAGTATTTATACACAATTAAAAATGAATTAAATGAAGTAACAAGGAAGTAAGAGACTACTCAATATGGTTAATAAATTAAAATTATTGCTTTTATCGCTTTTCTTTTCTATTTTTAATACCCGACCTTTCGGATGCTTCGCAGAAGTCACGGTCACAGGTCTGACTGGAAAGTCGGAGTCACACACACAGTGTCACTGTCACAGATACAATTAGCTCCCTCTGCATAGATCGGACACAAAATTAATAATTCAAAAACTGACGGTAGCCCGGGTTAACTATGACAATCGGACGTCTAACACCTCAGTCTGTCCCGTGACCATGAACGCTGTAAAGGGTTCGAAACGTCGGGAATTAAAATTAAAAATAAAAACGCGTTAAATCCGTAAAATTAGTTTCATTTATACAGTGTCACTGTTGACTTGGGCTACCGTCAGTTAGAAAATTGTTAATTTTAATCCGATCCACTTAGCGACGGTCACGATGTCAGAAGTCCTGTAGCGGTGATATCGGGAACTAAGTCTAATGCGTCCGTTGCAGGAATGGGCAGGCTCGTCCGGAGAAGTACCACGGCCTCGTAGAAGATCGGCATGGAGTGGAAGTATTATACTATCGCGTTTCACCTGATGAGTGAGGGATTGTTGGCTGGGGCCAACCTTTTTAATGCTTATAAAAAAAACAAATCTATAATTCGTGGAGCATGTTTTCAGCTGCCGATTTAGAACATTTTAAACTGTTACCATCGAGAAACATTAGAAAAATTGCATTGCAACACTACTATTAACACTAAAAATAGTTCCACATTCTATTTAAAAACTACGTTTACATCGCAAATCCATTAACGTGATTTGTAATAATAAATTCGCTAAAATATAAATCTCACCCGGCGCCGTCACGAGCTGTTTATGCGTTAAGCTCCTTCTAGCGATCGTAAATAAGCGTTGGAAAAAAAAATGGCGCCATTACGCCAACTAATTCAAGCAACATTAGTACATTGATAACTGAATTTGACTCCTGATAAACGTAAAGAATTGCCGCTTTTAATGTACTGTTAATACCAATGAATATTCATCGCCCACTCTCATTGGAGGGGAGCCATCGGAAAAAACACTACTTAGGTGCCGGCGGAGTTTAAGGAGGAATGGACGGGGACATTTTGAACGGCGCACGCGAACCGCAATTGTGCACAGATTATAAAACTAACGTAGATTATAAAGCAAAACGTGTGCGACGGCTAGTAAGTTCCGCGCGACGACAGGCCGATTGGGGCTATATTAATTGTTTAAGGGCACGATTTCCTTAGTGCAGTATATTTTTCCAGGATAAGGCTAATTTCGAATGTAGTGTATTGACTAGGGAGCATGGACTTGATGATTCCGTGGCGCAGTTGCCAAGGGCTTCGGCGTGGGGATCGAACCCCCATTAAAAAAAAGACTTCCAACGCACCCGCGAGGTTGTAGATTGCCATATGAACACAAATACCAATCACAAATATATACTGTTAACATGAAATATATTAAGTTTATCGGTTTGAGGAGGGGTTTATATAATTGGGGGCACATCAAATAATTCGGCTCCATGTTTACATTAGAGTTTTACATTGTCTAATCCCTTCGGAGAGTCGCATAGTTGTTTTACGACCAAACAGCTGGCCATAATAATTCAGTCGTTCGTTGTCACTCGCCATGAAAACGTATAAGGCGAAATAAAATAATAAACCAGCCGTATTAGCTTCAGTTTTATTGGGCTCGATAAGATATTCGCGCGTGATAACGTGCGCGTGACAGCATGTGCGTGCGCTTTTCGAAGAGTCTTTATCTTTATATATATAATTCTTCTGTTCGTGTGTATGTCACTGAACTCACGGCTGGAGCGATTTTAATGATATTTTTTGTGTGTCTTCAGGTTGATTCAGATTCACAATTCGGTCGACTACCATGTTTTTTTTTTATTTTTTTTTGTTTAAAAGTTGTTGTTGGATTTAAGTCATGTGTACAGGACAAAGTCTGTCGTCTGTCCGCTACTTAAGTATAAAGATTCATTTTTAACCGACCTCAAAAATGGTGGAGGTCCTATTTTTTCACTGTATTACATTTATTATTTATTTCCGCTTTATTTTACACCAAAAACATAACAAGTGAAGATTACAATTGAATCTTAATAGGAGTAAGCGGCCTTATCGCTTTGAAAGCGATTTCTTCCAGGCAACCATTGCGAAAAGAATTTTTGTTAAAGAGAAATAAAAAGGGAAACAAAGAGGTGTACATGAATCACTCATAAAATCAAGATGAAGGCATTTATGAATCAGTTTCAAAGTTTCGGGAAAAATAGGAAAAATAAAAAAGAAAGCATGAATTTCACAATCCCAAGTAACGAGATTTTCGTGTTCATTTTTGTTGTTCAATTTTCGTGTTTCTTACCACAGAACTCCCTCGTTTACTAACCGGTTTTGAAAGTTCTTTTTGTCGGTACTAACTCGGTAGTTTGATCTAGCTTCCATGTGGGCCCATATTAATTTCATCGGTATTTGACCTTTTGGACTTCGGAGACACATCAGCCAACTCCTCAATAGCAAATAGGAATGGACATATGAGCGAGAAATTTGAGGTATGTTTTCGTTTTTTTTTTTGTTAATAACAATATTATACTTGTAATAAAAATAAACGAAAAAATTAATTGTAAATATAAAATGAACCCTCAGTCATAATACATATCTGTCTGTCATACATTCCGAGCTGTCAAGGATGAATGTAAACTCAAGGTATTATTATATTAAACTAGCGACCTACCCCGGCTTCGCACGGGCTTAATGCATATCAATCTTCCTCTTGAATTACTCTATCTAGTAAAAAAATCCGCATCAAGATCCGTTGCGTAGTTTTAAATATCTAAGCATACATAGGGACAGACAGACAGCGGGACGACTTCGTTTTATACTATGTAGTGATGATATTAGATATAGATTATTTTCAATTTTTCCGTTACAATAAATCCGCGAGAAATCTTCGTTTCTTCACCATCCTAATTTAAATTAATTTTTACGCGCCTAACCATTATACGGTAATTTAAACCGCGCGATCAGATTCGAAGATTAAAAGCTAACATTAACTAGAATTTTCATAACTTCCGTCGTTATAAAACGAGTGAAACGTAATTAAATGTTCCGGCATGAGTTGCACACGTAGGGAATCATAATTACACTTGTATTGCAACAATCAAATGTAGATATTGGGGCTTACGCTCGATAACAGATAAGAGACCAATTAAATGCTAATTCAAACGTTGTCAGATATTCGATTTCAAGTGCTTTACTGTATGTGAACAAGTACATGGGTAGAAATTATCAGTCGATTAGCCTGGAACTAGATCGAAATAAGCCGTGATAGCTCAGTTTCCGGGCGCTCGCCTTTAATTCAATATACTCGAGCAACCTGAGTTCGATCCCCGGTGCCGGCACCAATGAAGTTTTTAACTTTAAGTGCTGACTTATCACGTGCTCCGCGGTGAAGGAAAACATCGTGAGGAAACCTTTATATTTTCGAAATAAAAACAAAAAAAATATTTCGAATATATGTGAAGTCCGCCAATCCGCAGTGGGGCCGAGTGGTGGACTATGCCCTGATACCCTTTGTACAGAGGAGGCCTCTTCCCAGCAGTGGGACATGTACAGGCTGTTACTTTATTTTAGATCGAAATTCGTTTCGTTTGGAAATTGATAGGAATATGTGCAAGGTCCAACCTGAAAGAGGATATCAAGTCGTTTGAATTGCTTTGATATATATATATATATTTTTCAATTAAACTACCACATAAATAAAAAAAATTATCCAGAAATCACAAGTTAGATTCGAAGTCGAAATATAACGCAATACTATTGTGTCAATTATATGGCGACAGTTTGAAGTATTTTTAACCCAAACGATTAGATAAAATTTAACCCTGGATGTCTCAGTTTAAACTGTAAAAAAACAAACCATAATACAAAGTATTTTAAACTTCTTAAACGTCTTCCAAAAAGGAAAATGCTCCAAAGACGATTTTATTTTTTTATTGTTACCCCGAAGCTCCGTTATTTATGATTTTCAGAATTATTTTTGCATCGGGTAAATACGGTTTGTCTTCGTAGAGAAAATCAAATAGAAAACTTATAGTGAGTGAGATATTTGAAGTCAGTTTTGGATTTTTGTTAATAAAGATGTTTTTATTGCTCTTATTTGCCATGTTTGATTTGATATATTTCCGAATGTCTATTTTTATGTTAGATGATTTTATCGACGTGGTTAACACCGAATACACTTCTGGGGTTCCAGACTTGTTACCTCACTAAACAGACGGAACGCAATAGTGTAATTCCAATGCACGCCGTCCCTGTGTATCGTGTGCACTTTGACAATGAGAACAGTTGTTTTAAATGACATCATTGTTTACATTTGAACTTGATCAGGCAAAATATTGGCCGATGCAGATTTAATGTTCACGGTATGCTAAGTTAATGACTTGTCCGTCTTAAAACGGTATAAATTGCGCATGGACGGAACGTTAGATCGTATGTTAGTACATAAATGGCTGCGAATAAGTTTTATACAATAACACGACGTTTTTAACTTCCGCAATGCCGCTTCGTGGATTGATGCAGTTTGAAATTAGATATTCCCTTCGTATACGGAATCGCCTTGCCTTGGACCTTGTCCTGTTGAGAATACGAGATTTGTCTGAGTAAGTTTCCCTCGGCTCTAAGTTATACGAAACTGGCAACGGCTGCAACCTTGACTACGCACGGGCTAGGTTATCCGCGATAAGTTAATAACTAACTAACGTATAACAGTTAATTAAAGTCGAAACGACTAATTAGTTTTTGCTGTAAAGAACTGCGAGCGTATCATTATTAGGTTTTTATAAAGTTACGATTCTATTTCCTCTCATTAATAGGCTATGCGGTACATATGCAAGCAATATAATTATTTTCTACAATTTTTAAACAATGATCTTTTAAAAAATGACTTTAGTTACTATTTCGAAAACTAATTACGAAACAAATTTTCTCCTTCTCAGATATCTTAAAATTACCGCCTGACAATCGTGAGCAATGACACTCAACGGGTTTTCTACCTACCCTGTTAGAATTTCCAAGGATATTTGAAGTACATAGGACGTAAACTGAAATATCTTAAGTAAAGGTATGAGACGTTGAATAAAGACTCATCTCGGGTGTTAGACAAAAAGAGGAGTATACGACACAGTCAAAAACGTACACTGCGGTTTGGCGGATTTCTCATTTCTTCCAAAAATGTTTTTTGTTATTATTTCGAAAATATACAGGTTTCCTCGCGATGTTTTCCTTCACCGTTGAGCACGTGATAAGCCAGCACTTAAAATTAAAAACTTCATTGCACAGGTATTTGAACTCATGTTGCTCGAGTATTACGCGTTAAAAAGAGCGCCCGGGCACTCAGCTATAAGGGCTCTTTTTTAGTAGTAAACGGTAACCTGATTTGTCACAACGTCGTTCGCGAAGATGGATGGTATGGTATACATCTTTGACAGTGTTCAGCGGGCTGAATACCCTTACATGGTCATTTTGCCTTATAAACTTGCAGCTGACACCTTTCGTATTTTAAACGAGCCTTGATATATTGAATGTTTATTTAACGTTTGAAACAGTTGAATGAATATTTGTTACATTACACATTGCCTATGAGTTTTTTTTTGGATTCTATCGCATAGTGACGTCTTGTAAACTACTGCGTCGCGTTTAATTTTTTTTATTTTTTTAACATTCTGACGTTTCGGAGATCTTGAAGGACGGTAATTTTTCATGCTACATTAATTCTGTCACTCTCCTAGTTAGGAATTATTGTCTCTGATTTTGTAGCCTACAACTAAGCGGAGTGAAGAGGCTTCTAGCCTGCTACGTGGACAATGATTAGATTAGACTAAATCTTACTAAGAACCAATTAGTATTACATCATCATTTCTTACTTGCAAGGAAATCGGTGCAATATAAATTATTTTTTTAATATAAATTTAAATGTTTGTGCATGAAATGAGGCTTATAAACGATGGTTTAAAACGTCGAATTCAAAATGTCGAATATGGACACTAAAAATTGGTGAATTTTCCTTTTTACTCACACTCTAGATATTTACATTTTGTAACAGGCAGTACTTGTTCCATTTTTAAAAAGCATATTTTCCCGTGGCATGAATAAAATTAATTCGACGGCGGCTTTATTATAGGCAAGAAGCTACCAGGTTTAAAAGTGGGGAATGCTTAATATAGTCCAATGACATTTTGGGTCATTGCAATTGATACGTTTCGTGTACCTAATTATTGTTCTAGAAATTAATTTTGAATCCACGTGGATAAGATTTAAATTACAATTTGTTCCTTTAAAATTCAATGAGAATTATGAAATATTTATAAATACTTTAATTTCATTAAAATATGTAGAAAAATTACGAAAAGACTGCCGCCGCTGGGGGAATCGAACCCACGTCAAAATCTTAACAATATAGATAAAAGACGTTAAGATTTTCGTCGGTGTGGCAGTCAGCCGTTTAGCGTAGTGGCTAAAGCGTCAGGCCGCGAATGCCGAAGACGCGGGTTGGATTCCCACAGCGGCGACAATCTTTTCGTGCTTTCTCTACATATTTTAATGTTCAATCTTAAGTGCAAAGATTAGCACTATAAACAATTTAAATTAATTTCAATCGAGGATAATTAATGTAAAAGTAAATTGGAAACGGAGCTCGGGTTTTGAGTTAGCGAAATTGTTTCGCAAATGACTACTATTATTTAGCGACATTACGTGTAGTCACCGTTAACAATGGAGCAGTGATATTAGCTCATTAGCTGGAAGAGCGCTTGCGGTGGGTTGTATTGCTCAAAATACCTATCGCCACGATATAGGAAAACCCAAGCCTTGCTTCCGATATTAAATATCAAATTAAAAATTAATAATTAAAAAACGAATGATACCAGAGTCGTAACGTCATAATTTAAACCCAATTGTTGCACGAATTTAAAAAGAAAACGGCAAGCAAAAGGTAGGTTCCGTATTGAATGGATTGTTGCATTATATCGTATCAATTCCCTAACACACGGCACTGGAGACCGATAATTAAAAAAAAAAAAGAAAGAAAAAAAACCGACAGCTGCTTCCCGCGCGTTCGCCATATTGGTGCCGCGTTACGGCGCGCCACAGAGGAAAACGAGCGCGGTGGTTCCTTATCGTCACCAAAAGTCAACATCGTTATGCGGAAAGCGCTTAGATGCGAACCGTTTGGGCCGTTAGGTAGCCGTGAAAAAATATCCGCCGCGCCCGCCCACCGCGCCGCTGCCTTACGGTATTTCGAACGTGCGAGTGGGACGGCGCGCGGCGGGACCGGCGCGTTAGAAAGAGCGCGCACGATTCCCGCGCGTCCCGCTCAAAGCTCGCCGGTTGTTTGGCCTAAATGACGGTTTTATTATATTAATTGCTTGTCTTTGGAAAGTTCTGTGCAACGTTCAGGTAACTGTTCAGTTTTGAATGTCAATTGCTAGTTTTGCTTCGCTATTAACGGACGTAGATTAGTCGCGCTTGGATTTGTAACCATTTTTTTTCTTCGGTCTTTAAACACATTTCTGTGATATTATAGTGTATAAAATTATTGTAAATAAGGTTAGTCCTTATTTTGACTTTATGTGCGGGATAAAAATATTTACATTTTCCAAAACACTTATTAGGAGTTTGAAAAATGACACAATTTTCTTTGTTAACGAACAATTTTTCATTTATATGATTTTTTCCGATTTCCTATTTTAATATTATCGATGCGTAAAAAGGGAAAAATTTTTCAAATACGTTTAAAATATATTCCTTGACTTGAGGCCTGACACGATAAGAAGTATTTGTATATAATTATAAAAAAATACAAGTTGTCTAAAAGAAACAAAGAAGTGAAAATCAAAAATAGAATGCACTTCAGTGTGTCGTGTGCGTCCCCGAGGAGAAGCTGTGTCATACAAATCCTCTAAGTCCGCTGTTAGGAGTCCTTGAACAGCTAAATGCGATATCGGCACTCGAGGACGTCAATTTACATTACAGGCGCACTGATAAGCCTAAAGGGCTTTAGGACACAATGTCCTGCGTCATTCGTCCTTAAAATGACTAAAGACCTTCGCACCTTAAAATAACGGCCAATATATATAAGTTCCGCTGGTCCTTTAGTTTTTAGTCATGCAGCCCTGGTATTATATATCATCACATTTATATATCTATAACTTCTCCTTTTTTTCTCACGACGTTTTCTACTAATGTTTATACAATTTGAAATAGCAATTAACAATGTCAGTGTTGAAATTTTTTAAAGGATTCGAATGGGCCTGTTCGAATGTACGTAAAGCTAATTTGAGCTATCGCGTCTTAATAAAATCATACATGTAACGAGTGATTTTTTTTCTAATTTTGCGAATGTAACACATCGCCGAGTGAAACAATTTATTTGAATTTTATTAGACAGTCTGTACCGTGACAATGGGTGCTTTAAAATGGTATAATTTCTTAACCTATTTTAAAAATGCTACAAAATGTCTCCGATAAGATAACACGCAGAATACTCTCTTATGTCACTTACAGCAAATAACCGATATGGCAAAAGTGCTGGTGATCCACCTATGTTAAGCAATAACCGCCGCCCATTGATATTGGCAACACCCATACGGTTGCAGATGCGTTGCCACCCTTTAATAAAGTGGGCCCCGGCTACCACACTCACCGGCAGCAAATAGAAGTATAACACTAACACTTCCATTTCAAGCCGCTGTTCTGTGAGGCCGTGGTACATACCCGGACATAATAACAGCGGAGACAGTTGCGTGACCCAAAAAATGTCGAAAGGCCTGTGTTAAAACAGCGATCAGACTGCACCATTTTGTTATCAACTTTCGTCAGAGCCGTTTGTGGTGTAAATAAATGGTATAAAAAAATGGTGCAAATAAATGGTGCGTCTTACACGTTTGATTGTTGGAAGCCTTTGCCTAAGAGTGGGACTAATCACTACTTACATAGTATAAAACAAAGTCGTCCGCTGTCTGTCTGTCCCTATGTATGCTCAGATCTTTAAAAATACGCAACGGATCTTGATGCGCTTTTTTTACTAGATTCGTGATTCGATACGTGATTCAACAACAAGGTTTATATTTATAATTGCACCGATGCGATGCCAGGACGGGTCGCTAGTATCGCAATAAAAGTAACACAACTTACTATCGCAGATTTATGTATTTTAAACTGACTGTTCAGATAAGATAGCAACAGGCTATTGACAATTTATTACAAAATCAGTGTATAGTTTTTCATTTTCCTTTCATACAGAAAGACTTCGTATTACACAATAAAGTGATACGTGTCGCCAGAAAACATAAAACCAAAGACATACTACTCACTGAGATTGAGACAAACTGACGAACGTTTTGACGATAAATTTTCGACCCTGAAAATGCGCCCGCACTTTTCACAAAATTTTAATCCGATCCATCATAAAATAAATATAGGTACTGTTGATTTCCTATTTCTGTTAAGTAAACATGCGTGTTTATCGATTACTCTGTGTCACTGTAAATTTTGCGAAACGTCGATAAAACAAAGAGATTCTTAACTAGTTTTTAAGAAATCTAACTTGATTTTGGAGTTTCAACTCAAATGTTCGTGTTGCTCCGATTCATTCGGAAAATAGTATGGAAAACCGCTTTCTCGTCGACTTTCGACTCTTTTGGTCGGATGTAACAGTAAACTCAGCCGGTGAGAGCCACCTTGGTGATATTTTCTCTGCGTCGTGTCTACGTCATATTGACGATATGTCGTGTTTAATTTTGCATCGTTTTGCGTAAGGATAGCGTAATTACGTAGTTTTATAAGTTACTAGCTGCTGCCCGCGGCTACGTCTGTGTAGAATAAGCTGAAGGCGTTACATTCAGACAGAAAGACATAAAATATGCATATAATTTTTAGCCTATGTGTTATTCTGATGTAAAAGCCATATTATTGTAAAGTTTCATTAAAATTTATTCAGTAGTTTTTGCGTGAAAGAGTAACAAACATCCATCCAAACACACATCCAAACATACAAACTTTCGCGTTTATAATATTAAGTAAGGATTAAGTAAGGATGATTCAGTGTGTTCTATAAATAATCACTTTTTATGATCACAAAACGATTTAACGTTTCTTTTTGCGAACCGTAAACGTACACACAGACATAAATATGAATGGGAAAGAAGCGGAAGTGCTAGCCCACTGGAAATGGGAAATTCATGAAATGTCCACCCAACAGGTTAGTGTAGTGTTAGTGAATGTATGTATTTTGAAAAGTATTACAATAGTAACAGTATTAATTATTTATAAAGGTACACCAAAAACATGTTCAAGGTACAATAAAAGTCTAGAAGTACACATAATTAAATTAACATATGAACACATCAACAATAGGTGTACACATCATTCATGAATAGTACATACATACGTGCTGTACAAGAAACTAATATAGAAACTATAAAATATAATAACTAATATAGAAAGGTAACGTGTATATATGTATATATATAGGTAACGTGTATATAATATTTTACGGTGGTAGGGCCATTCAGCAGCCTCGGCTGTTGCACGAATGGGCAGGCTCGTCCGGGTAAGTACCACGACCTCACAGGAGACCAGCGTAAAGTGGAAGTATAATACTTTCGCGTTTCGTGTGGTGAGTGAGGTGGCCGGAGCCCAATTTTTCAAAAGGTTGTCAACGCATCTGGAACCGTCGGGTGTAGCAGATGTCCATGGACGGCGGTATTCATTTAACATCAGGTGAACCGTCTGCTCGTTTGGTAACTTTTCACATAAAGAAAAATATATAAACAAAAGTATTATAGCTATTTGTTTCGCGTCTGGGTGTTTGTCCGCGTGAAATTTATGTATGTAAAATGTCTTTACAACACAGGATATTGTTATCCTACAGTAAGGGAAATGTCTATAAAAAAATAATCACATTTTAACCTTTAAAACACGTTTAAATAAATAACACGAGCTGCAGATCGTAAGGTGCCTACACTGCATGGGAAGCCGTTAAATTTGCGCCGCTTTGTTCGCGAGTTTGGTTTAGTCCGATTAACTTAAAACGATATACGAACATATACAAGTCAATTCTATTTTTCTTAGAGTCACGAATCATTATTTATTACTGACGAAACAATTCTTGTATTTTTCGTGGTTATTATATCAACAGCTGTGTATCTTTGAGATTGAGCCTAGTTTTCAACCGACTTTAAAAGGAGAAGGTTCTCAATTCGATTGGTATATTTTATTTAATAGCGAAAAACTTACTGGATTTTTATTCTCAAGTAATATTAATTAAACGAATTAACATTTATGAATGAATAAATATTTCGGACACATTTTTTACACAACATTCTCTAGTCCCAAACTAAGCAACGCTTGTACTATGGGTACTAGAAAGCTGATAAACTTACTTAAACATACTTTTCTTTTGTAAATAAATACATGTTATACATATATAAACACCCAGACACTGGAAAAACACCGGGTTCATCACACAATATTTTTCCAGTAGTGGGGATCGAACCCACACCCTCTGGCGCAGGAGGCAGGGTCATTACTCCCCACGCCAATTGGGTCGTCAATTAACCATAACTATGCAATCTTTTATTGTTTTGTGTATCTCCTCGCTAGTTATGTTGTGCTATAAAATATGTTTTTTACTACGTTATTATCAATTTATTTATCATGATCCCCCCTAATCACTTACCCGAACATCATGATGTTTTTCTATTTCAAGGGTTTTTTGGTAAAAACCTTCTTATGCTTAAGATAGTCTTTGTCAATTATTTTCAGTGCCTAATTAGTAATTAACAGTTTAAGTTTTACTTTTCGTCGGTCCTTCCGTCGTAGTAAAATGTGTTCTAATGAAAAACGAATAGGCTAATGCTAAGCTAGTGTGTTAGTTAATCTTCTGAATGTAAAAAATGAGGTATTACCGCTATTACCTCACTTTTTACATTCCAATATTCATTAATATTATAAAGACAATTTAAAATATTTTTTTGATAATGTTAATAATTATCGCACATCTTTACTTTTAGTTACATTGCGATAAACGCATACCTTATAGATAACAAAGAGTGAGTTTGCGAGATAAAACCTGATGCAATTACTGCTCTATCTTATGATTGCTTCGATTTGGATGCTTAAATTAACGGCAAGTGTCTGTAGAACTTAGTATATGACATAGTTTTAAGTGTGTCACTTTAAATTAGCTACTAAATTAATCCCCTTGAAGAAAAGTCTTAAATGACGTATGTAAAGTCATACATGCTACATATAATATGCAACTATTATAAGGGTTTAATTTTAACTGCTTATAGACGAAATCCCAAAAATGATGTGCTTTGACTTTCGATGTGCTCGTAGC